ATTCAGCTTATTCCAGCAATAGCGATGTTAAAACAGAATCTGAGGAGAATTAATTGATAGTTGAAGATTCTGAAGTTTCTGAGCCAAATATATGGATAAAAATCTCAGCTAAAGTTGTTTGTTCAGCTGTACTTATTTACTTCTTCCTGCATGAGGTAAAACAGCTAACTATCTAAAAGGCTAATTATTTCAGAGATGTGTGGAATTATTTTGACTTCACACACATTATTACATTTGTTACATTTTGCATAATTGACTTTACAAATGTAGACTCAGAGAGTCTAATCTTGATTAAGATCTTGGTGATAGTTCTGTCATTCATGAAGCTTTTCTTCTTCTTAAGAATTTACGATGGATTCAGTTTCTTGGTTTAAATGATGGGTGGTGTATTTAAGGATCTTAAGTACTTCATCTCTTTCTTTCTCATTTTTATTCTGCAATTTGGAATGATCTTCTTAGTCCTTTTTAAAGCAGAGTCCATTGACGAGTATAATGGAGTTAACAAAATGGCATATTTCTTAATGGCCTTTAGAATATCATCAGGAGACTTTCAATTGGATGAATATCAGAACTAAAACAGCACCTTAGTTATATTTACTTGGATCATCTGGCTGATTGCAGTAATGGCCTTGAATATTGTTTTCATGAATTTCATAATCGCTGTGATTTCAGAATCATATGAGAGAGTCATGCAGAAGCTTGTAGCCGAGTCTTACAAAGTAAAAGCAAATATGATCGTTGAAAGAGAACAGTTGTTTTCTGATAAAGATCTTATTAAAGAAAAACTGTTCCCTAGATTCATCATAGTAAGAAGACCAATTAACAATGAGTCTCAAGATGGTGGAGAATGGCAAGGCTTCATCAAAGATCTGAAATATACAATTAGGACTAGTGTATCAAAGTCCAAGGGTGAGGTAATTTAAAAAATCCATTCATCAATAGAGAAAATTAATGAAACTATTCAACAAAGCTAAATTCAGATTAATCCAAATGAAAATATTGATGAAAAACTTTCGAATTTGAAAGATTAAGTTGATGCTTAAATAAAAAATCTTGATACTAAAATGAGATAGAATATGGATTTCATAAAAAGCACACTAGTCTAATTGCTTCAAAAGCAAAATCAATGATTGCAACTAATTATTAATAACTGAAGAGAAATTATATAATTTTATGACACAATTTAGGAATATCATGCATTATGAACTTGCTGGTGCATAATATATTCTAAAGTCATATTCTGAGGGAAATAATTTTCTCATTTTTAAACAATTCGATTTATTTATAAAACAAAAGCTTGAATAACCTCAATTTTTTTTCCTTGGGGTTTTGGGGTTTTGGGGTTTTGGGG